ATCCTGACTTTCACACCTCCTCCTCCTCCTCCTCTGATTCGGCTGCTGGAGGGGCTGGCAGTTGGCAGGGCACAGCAGGTACTTGCATCTAGACTGAGAAGTTTTGACAGATGGTCCCACCCACATCACATGACCACATTTTGTGTACTGGGCAACATTTATCACTCTCTACAATGATCACATGATGGCATTTTCCAATGGTTTTGCTGAAAACCAATAGTTATTTTCTGTTTGTTTTTTTGTTTTGTTTTTTTTGCAAAACTGGTCCCAATGCGAACCATGGTTCACTTAACAACTGCTGCAAAAAAAGGTTGTAAAATTGAATCAGTCACATGACCAACCCAGTTTATGATTGTCTTGAGTTATGACTCCGATGGACAGACTCAAGAACTACCTGCATATTTTTTTTCTCTGATAAGTGGTTGAATGTTTTCACGTGAAGACTTTCTGATTCCATCTTGCTGATCGAATTCTATTGAGCATAGAATTGTAGAGCTGGAAGGGACTTTGGAGATCTTCTAGTCCAACCTCCTTGACCAAGGCAGGAGTCCTTATTCCCTCCTGGACCACTGGTGGTCCAATCTTTTTTTCTTGAAAACCTCCAGGAATGGATATGGAGATTCTCAGTCATCCAGGTCATGGTTGCCCACGGTAAATTTTTACTGGACTTTCTGGTTTTTTGTTTTTTGAAGATGTTTCGCTTCTCATCCAAGCTGAAGAAGCTTCTTGGATGAGAAGTAGAACGTCTTCAAAGAAAAACCAGAAAGTCCAGTTGCCTCTTGAAAAACCACCCTAGGGACTCCAGGAATGAAGCACTTACAACTCTTTAGTTTTCTAGGTGCTTCTCTCCTTGATTAGTTTCCACCCATTGCTTCTTGTTCTATCCTCAGGTGCTTTGGAGAATAGCTTGACTCCCTCTTCTTTGGGGCAGCCCCTCAGATATTGGAAGACTGCTATCATGTCTCCCCTAATCCTGCTCTTTGTTAGTTTAGACATAGCCAGGTCCCTCAATTGTTCATGGTATCGTACAGGTAGTCCTTGACATAATTATTCATTATATGGCACAACTTGCCTTCAGAAATTGTGGGTGCTCCATCACTGGAGGTTTTTAAAAAGAGTCTAGACAATCACTTATCTAAAATAAGGGGATGGATTAGAACAGGGGTCCCCAACCTTTCGGATCTCAGGGACCACTAAATTCATAATTTTAAATCCCACAGACCACTAATATCTGCCTTATGACTGGCTAGGTGGGTGCGGCTAGGTGGTCATGTGTCTGGGTGGGCGTGACCAACTCAATGTCATTCATGTCAAGGGGAGCCTTGTCGGCCACTACTCACTCCTCCCCTCCCAGCCCCTCCTCGCCTGCGCGTCCGGGCTCCTTAGGGCCCCTACAGGAAGCAGTTGCTGGGGCAAAGTAGCCACCAGGAGAAAGAGTTGGCAAAACAGCTCAGTTCAAATTGGCTCTGGCTGAGAAGGAGACTTAGCAGAAGCACCTCACTGAGGACTAGGAGCATAGGCTTTCCAAGCAGAGGGAACATCTGTGGGAGTGCAAGGCCAGGTATTGCACCTGGAGACTCAGCGGGCTGAGATGGTCAGCCAGTTCCAGACCATGATGCAGTCCCACTGGAACGAGGCCCACCAGCTCTTTGCCACCAGCGGCTCTTCCCTCCAGCCTTCACCCAAAGCCTCCCACCAGGAGGCTGAAGCAGACCCCAAGTCTGAATTTCTGCCCCCTCCGACCAGCACAAAAAGACGTCAAAGGGGGAGACTCTCTGCAGCAACACAAACATTCATTGCATATATCCGGCCCAGGGGCCGTAGTTTTGAGGACCCCTGATTGAGTGCAATATAAAAAATGCAAATAATTTTTCTGCAGACCACCAAAATTTTCTCACGAACCACCATTTGGTGACTGCTGGTCTAGAAGACCCCCAAGGTCCCTTCCAGCTCATTCTATTTATTCTAAGTAAGTTTGGTTCAAATCTGATCTCTTCCTCACACCTGCTGCCCCCTTTGAAAGCATGCCAGGACAACAGCACCCCCTTCAGGCAGTTGATAAGATGCACACAGACTTCATTTTCTCACTAACCAGCTAAAGAGAACAAATTGCTTCAGAGCTGTGTTTCTCAAACAGGACAACTCTCAGAATTCCCCAGCCAGTATGCTAATCAAATATCATCTTGCTCAGTTTTTTTTTTGTTCAAGGTAATCCAGGATCAATTAGAGATTGCCACCAGCCGTAGATATTATGAGAACAAAATTTGACATTTTCTTGTTCAAACAATGTCCTGGAGGTGGCAAGATTAATTCCATTTCTAACAGATTAACAGAGTTAGAAGGAACCTTGTAGGTCATCTAGTCCAACCACCCGCTCAAGCAGGAGACCCTACAACATTTCTGACAAATGACAGTCAATCTCTTCTTGAAAGTGTCAAGTGATGAAGCTCCCACAACCTCTGTTCCATTGGTTGCTTGTTGTCCCTGTCAGAATTTTTTTCCTTATTTCCAGGTTGAATCTCTCCTTGGTCAGTTTCCATCCATTGTTCCTTGTCTGGACTTCAGGTGCTTTGGAGAATAGCTTGACCCCCCTCCTCCTCTCTGGGGCAGCCCTTCAAATATTGGAAGATGCTCTCCTATCTCCCCTGGTCCTTCTCTTCACTAGACTAGCCACGCCCAGTTCCTGCAACCGTCCATCGTATGTTTTAGCCTCCAGTCCCCTCATCATCCTGGTTGCTCTTCTATGCACTTTTTCTAGAGTTTCAACCTCTTTTTTATAGCATGGTGACCAAAACTGGGTGCAGTATTCTAGGTGTAGTCTTACTAGAGCTTTTCTAAAGTTTAAACAGCCTCAAAAGGTATTTGAATTCACTTCCAAATCAAGTCAACAAGATATTGCTGGAGGTTTTTTAAAAAAACAACAACATTTGACTGGGATGGCATAAGGTCTTCTGCTCTGAGCCAGGCTAGGGTTGGGCTAGCAATAGCAATAGCAATAGCAGTAGACTTATATACCGCTTCATAGGCCTTTCAGGCCTCTCTAAGCGGTTTACAGAGAGTCAGCATAT